CTGACTTATTGGTAGTCCCTGTCCTTGGCCACTCTTCTCTAGTGGCCATAGCCAAAGACTACCAGCAGGCTGAATGGTGGAATAAACGCCACTGGACTGAACTCATCAGTGTGTGACCTTTTTTGGATATTTAGTTTGCAGCACATACAGTGTGTAGTCCTACCCAAATGTGGCACATTTTCCCATCATATTTGTCTGAAACTATTAATAAAAAAATCACATGGATGTATGGGTGGGGCAAAGAGCTAAGGTCCCCAATGCACAGAGAAGGCACATATGGAGACCAAGAAGAGTTAACAGTTCTTGTGAGAGAGAGGTAGGGCAGAAGAGTTACAAGAGTACTTGCAGCAACACAGTGGTGGTAACTTGCAGTAACAGGTGCAGCAACAAACACTTGAAGTAACAGATGCAATAACACTTGCATTAATAGATAAACCTAGTGCTTTGTTCAGCTACAGAACGGCCACCAAGAGTATGCAGGTGCAGGCACTAATGGTACTAAGGTAGTGTGGGCAGTAGCAGTCTTACTGGCAATCCCAACAGGTCATGCAGCATCGACATATATATGCAGAGCTACTTTGAACATTGTGGGGGGCACTGTCAACAAGGCCTACTTGACTGGGACAGCATCTGCAGGGGGTGGCTGACTGGCAGGGTAAAAAAACTGAGCTGGAGATTGAAGGAGGCTTTAGTGAAGGTGGTGACAGTAGTTCCAGAAGCTTGAAGTGAGTACAGCGGTAGCCCTATGCTTGACCACCTTGGGTCTTCCCTAAAAAATTTTAAATCTGTGTCCCTAACAAGTGGGATCCTGTCCCTACTCTATTTAATTGCAAATGCTTGCCAAATCCCCCCAGGATCCCTTATTTATAAGCACTGCCCCATCCAAGCTTCTCTCCCTATGACGCCTATACGGACTAGAGAAGAACATCATTCCTCTGAGTCTCCACTCCATCCACACAGCAGTACAAAAGCCACAAATCGGTGCTGTATACAGATTATGATTATAATGCCATATCATTTTTAAAAGCTAAAATCTCGCTTTGTAACTATTTTTTGAAAAAGGAAAATCAATTTCTTTTATCTGTGATATTTTAGGAATACTGTAATGTGAAAATAATTGTGCCCAGAGAAAGCAATAAGCATTGTGCTGTGCAAAGTGTGATAATCTATAGTAGTGGTCTCCAAACTGGGGCCAGATGCAGCCCTCTTGACTCTTTCCGGCCCTTGTGACATTATTCCTCGAATTGACACCAATGATGAGGCACCATTCCTCCCACTGACACCATTAATGGGGCACCATTCCTCCTACTGACACCATCAATGGGGCAATATTCCTCTTGCTAAGACCAATGATGGAGCACTACTCCCCCCACTGATACCGTAGATGGGGCACTATGCCTCCCATTGATACCAACAGTGGGACACTATTCCTTATGCTAAAACCAACAATGGGGCAATGTTTACTCCTACTGATGCCGAGACATTTTCTACTCACACTGGACAAAGTACGGCCCCCCTAAATCCTGAAGGACAGTAAACTGGCCCTTTGTTTAAAAAGTTTGGAGACATCTGTTCTATAGCAATAAACAAAACTGACATTTGATTGGTTTGATTTGGATTTCTACTTGGCATATCACCAATTTAAATAAGTCTGCCTTTACTTGTTAAAAGAGATTTAAAGTTGAAGATAAGTCAACTTATATTTTGTCTTCCCTGGTCCCCCTTTTCCATCAACACATTAATGAAATGTTTTAATAAAACCTTACAGTTTTCTTTACATACCTAATTCCAGACTATGTAACGTCATCGATGTGACATCTCTATGCTTCAATACACAATGCAGGTATTTTAAATAAAATAATTTAACAATGGTATTTATGTGTTTAATTACATTTCACATTTATATTGTGTATGAGTAACCAGAGGTACTATGTAACTTTACTTTTTCCTTAGGGGGGGGGCTGGATATTTGGTGCCCTCTCTTTTTAAAAGGGGGCTTTAAAATTCCAAAACGTCCCTGACAGACTCCTACATCTACTGAACCAGGGATGTCAGGAAGAGGCCCTTGTCTCCATCAACATAGGGGCATGCTGGGAGGGAGGTCACCAGCAAGGTACCCTCAAGATGATGAGGCACATGGCCTGGTATAGTTCAGAAGGGGAGAGCAGGGCTGTGGATAAGGGATAAGTACCGGCAGTCCTTCTATATGGGGCCTAGGCAGGCAGGGGGCCTAGGCAGCTGGGTAAATCAGATGTGGGCGGGTGAGCGGCATGGTGGGGGGGGTGGATAATTACTTGAACTGATCCCCTGTATGACTCTCTTTGCAGTAGCTGACAGCTGGCTTCTTTCCTCTCCCACCCACTGGATTTCAGCAGAGAGAGAAACATACAGGGGATTTGTTGGAGTAACTGCCCCCACACTGTACCCATCACCCTCCCTTTGCATCATATGTTTGTCACCCAGGCCCCCCTGTGTGCTCCCACAGTGCTTCTGACTTCCCTCCTTTCCTTCCCATTAGCAGCTGCAAGCACACAATAGGATCCTTCAGGATGGAGAGTGGGGGAAGGATCTGGTATATATGTCACATCTAGCAGCCCCTTCCTTTCCCAAATGAACACCATGAGTGATCGGTACCAATCACTCACTTTGTTCATTCATAACTAAATTGTAGTAAACTGATTTTTTGGGGGTGGGGATCCCTGTCAGGTTGGCTGCATGGAGCCCCGTGGTTTCTAACAGCAGCTCTGGGGGTGAGCACATGTTTTTTGTCCCTCTCTTTTCCTGGTCAACCAGGCTGCATGCTTGGATAAGAGTCTGGTTTGGATCAGACGGAGGGCCCCACACTGTTTTGTCTTTTTGCATGGGATCTATCCTTGAAATCCATACCAAGTCCTTATTCTGGATAAGAGTCCGTTATAGATGTTGAAAGACATTCCTCAAGCAACAGAGCAGAGCCACTGGGAAGTCAAAGCAGTAATAGTTTTTTTTTTTTTTTAAATGTCACTTTTTCTGTAGTACATACTACAGGCGTGTCACTTCACAAGTAGGTATAGAGCATCTCCCAAGCATGGTATTTAAAGGAATTTTGTATTTTTAATGTTATTACAAAAATACAGTATAGATGCACTAACATCAAGTATGGGGATGTTATCATACACAAGAGTATAATGAAATCTATGTCTTGGAGTGAGGGGTGTATTTACCACAAGGCAAACAAGGCATTTGCCTAGGGCGGACATTTTTCAGGGGGCAGCAGCATTTTTCAGGGGGGTAGCGCCGTCCCCCAAAAGAAGGAAAGGAAGAAGGAAAGGGGACCAGGTGGGATCTGACAGAGGCTGCGGGCTGCTTGATGGTGTATGCAGAGCCTGACTCTTGTTCCCGGGGATGTCCGGAGCTGTGACAGTGAGTGTCTTTTCTCTTGCCAGGGTGGGAGGGTGGGGTTTGCCAGTGTATGGGGGGCGGTGATAGTGAAAGGCTCTCTTGGGTTGGGATGGGGGGGGGGCTGTGGTGTTGTTGGTCAATGTCAGGATCTCTTGGGAGAGGGGGGTGTTGGTCGGTGTCAGGGTCTCTCTGTGGGGAGGGGAGCAAATTTTTGTGTTGCCTAGGGCAGCACGAAACCTACATACACCACTGTCTGGAGCCCACCTCTCCGTTAAGCCACTTTCCTTCATGCGGTAGTGGTGATTATTTTCAAAAGAGTCTAACTCATGCCCCTGCAATGTGCTACAAGTTGGATGAAGAAGTGACGTTCTATACATGGGGAAGTATCTCATGAGTGTGTTGGTGGACATGTTTACTGATTTTATCACAGAGGTGTTTTGTTTTATTTTACTTGAATTTTTTTAAGCACTTCAGTACAGATATAAATGTATTTTTAATGTTGCCTTTTAAAAAGACTCACTCCCTGCTGAACAGTATTTTTTATGAACAAAATCTTGCAAAATGGCCCTGAAAAAATAACAAGATTACACTTTAATAGACTTCAATGGAGTTTGAGCACGATGTTTGGGGATTGCAGATTTTTTATTTTTAAAACAAAATAAGGTCAGTGCTAATCCAAAAAATCAGAAAGTGAAAAATATGCTGTGTAGCTGCATGCAATGGACACCGATATACTAAGATCCTATTAGTGCTGAAAAAAGAAGCTGCAGCATTAAACACAAAAATATTGAATAATGTCAATAGATAAATACCATCAAGTGCGAAAAATACAATTCACATAAAACAAAAAATAATGTACATAAGTCCAATGGTGTTCAAGTCAATGATTGTGGACTGTGATAAACTGAATAGAATACTCCCAATGACCACTGTATAATAAATCTTCACCCAATGATCCAGGAACAACAGACGTGTCACCTCCACCAATGGCTACAATGAAAACTCACCAGAAGATGTTGCTGTTTAGAAAAACAGCAATAGTGCTTGTATGATAATAAATTCCCAAGTTACGATCCTTCAGTGTGTCAGGAAACTCGATAGTCCTCCTCATATCCCGCTCCACCAGATGTCAGTACATGCACTTTCATCCTCCAAAAACCTCCAAGAAATCTCTCATAGTGTAGTAGTTTTAATAAAGTGCACAGATAAAATAGCCAATTAAAAACAAAGAAAGCGCTGTGTATTCACTTACATGAGGGGACAACAACAGACACTCGGAATGGCAACATGACCTCCAGCAATAATGTCTAACAACCCAACACCGATTCACGCGTTGAACCCCTGAGGACGTGTTGAACCCCTGAGGATGCGCTGAGGTCCGAAACGGTGTTGGGTTGTTTCTTTGTTTTTAATTGGCTATTTTATCTGTGCCCACAAAGGCTGGTTTGACATGTTTTACCACATTTTTCCAAGTTTACCTGCGTTAGAGCATTTTTACAGCTACAAAACTCCTCTAGAAACCCATTAGTTCGGGGGGGGGGTTTCCAGCCAAAAAACACCCCTGCAAAACGCTGATTAATCCCCCTGGCTGTATTCCCAGTGTAGCTCGGGGTAAAGCTTCAGTACCAAAAGCGGTAACCCCGAGCTACACTCGGGAATACCTTGCAGCATTGCTCAGGGATTTCCTGCAGCACTTACCTTGTCCTACGCTCCCACGATGTGTCCTCTGCAGCGTCCCCGGCCATCTCCTCCGGCCGATGCTGGCATCCGTGTTCCATGTTCCGGTCCCTGTGAGTGTTGGGACGACTGGGACGTAACCGGTGGGAAATTTGAAAATTTTGACATTCACTAATACACTAAAATCACATAGTAAAACATTACTGTATCAAACCATTTCACATACATTTTGTCCCGAGTGCTTTGTCCTGTGCCCTGCCTGCATTTTTACTGTTCTTTCTGCCTTGCAACTGAGAAATGTACATGGCGTCCAAAAAGCGTCCCTTTAGGTCAAAAGCGTTTTTAGACCGGCTAGAGAACAGCGATAGTAAATCAGAACCACTTGCAGAATTGAGTGATAATGATTTGTGGGGAAATTCATCATCAGACACTGAAAACGATTCTGCGACTGAGTTCAGTGATATGCGAACTTGCCGCTATATTTCAAATTTCAGTGTTTTTAGTTTGATTATATTTTTGAATTATATTTATTATTATTATATTATTATTTTTATGATTATTTATTAAATTATAATTTATGATTTCGTGTTTCAAGTTTTATCATACCTGGGATGTTTACTAGACTTGTTCGGACAGATTTCAGTGAGTTATTCCTAAAAATTCCTAAAAATTACAGGCCTACAATAAAAAAACTACATATTTCCATGCAAAAAAATGTACCACTTTCAGCACAGAAATACTGACATAATCATACCGCTAGGGGGGTTAAAGCCTATGTGTGCATGGACACATAGGATAACATGCTGGGGAGTTTACTGGCTGTAGAAAAAAATGCCAAAAGTCAAAAACAGCCGCTGTAAAAACGTCCCGTGTGCATGAGAACTAATATATCAGTAAACTGACTTAAAGTAGAATTAAACACATTGATTTGCAGCCAAACTAAAACCTCCTATCTTTTTAGCCAATTAAGCTGCCATGTTAGCCTCTGCTTGATCTGCAACTGCCATGGTGCTGCACATGTGATCAGTTATGACTCTATCCCAGGGGCAGACTGACCATTTGGAAACTCGGGCACTGCCTGAGGGCCCGGGGTCAGTAGGGAGCCCCATGAGATGCCCCTGGTACCTTTTTCATAGGCTTTTTTGAGTTTGGGCAAGGACACAGGGGTCCCATGATCCCCTATTGCCCAGGGGCCCCATGAGTTGTCAGTCCGCCCCTGCTCTAGCCATTTGATGGTCTGACAGTTTGGTTGAAAGCACAAGCAACTGTAACAGTTAACATTCCCAGCATGTAATATTTAATTGATGGGTTTAGTTCCACTTTAATTGTTTTCCAAAACAGTTACATTCAAGGTATACCATGAATGATAATTGTCACAGTTACTTGTGCTCTCAACCAAACTGTCAACCATCAAGTAGCCGGTGTAAAAATTGATCACATGTGCAGCAACATGGCAACTGCATATCAAAACAGATGCTAAGAAAGTAACTTCCTTGGCTGTAAAGGATAGAAAACTGAAACCTGTTCAGCTGCTTTGGATTGTTACTTTGCACATCATCAGTAATTTTGAACTGCGTCAATAAATAAGTGTTAATACTGATTATTAATCATCTTAAACTGATCATACTCTACGGCAACGTGTGAATGCACATTCATTTATTTGAAGCTATTAAACTTTACGGTTTTTGCATATTGTTGTTTTTGTGAGTGAAATCAAGCTCCTGCTTTACTTTATTCTTTTAGGAGAGTCAAAACAATGTCACAGAGCTATAAGTTGAGAAATAGAAGAATTCAGTGGATTCCTTACTTGTGCAAAACAACTCTTTCCAGAAGGTTGAAATACAAATGTTTTATATTTTCTGCCAAAATAGTTTCCAAGAATGCTTTCAATTAGAAGCATATATTGTATCCTCTTCCGACTGGGAACTGAGCCCAATTTAATATGATCATCTGTTGTTTTCAGACGTCCCCTCACTCTTTTTTTATTTAAGCAAGATTTTCACTCTGAGAACTTGCAAAGGCTTTTTCTTCCCCTTGAAACACATTCTATCTTTGCCATAATGAACATGAAGGCTGTCATCATTCTCCTGGTCCTGTCATTGGCCACTATACTGGTGCTGGTTGCTGTTTTACTGTCAGGAACAGGAAAGTCAAGCCAAAGCTGTGATACCCAGTCACACTATCATAGCAATATCAACCCCAGTGCTGCACAGAAGAAAAAGATAAGCAACCAAAACTTAGTCTTTGCAGATCTGAAACCAGAAGAGTTTTCTGCAACAGTTGACTACCTGAAGAAAAATCTTGGTAAAAACTTGGTCAGTGCAGAGAATGCAAAGCCTACGGAAAATTGTATCTACTATATTGATGTTAAATATCCTCCAAAGCAGAAAGTCCTAGATTACTTAGATAACGGAGCTGAAAAACCTAACCGGGAGGCACTTGCTGTGGTTTTCTTTGGTGATCAAGAAGAAACCCAACATTACAGAATATGTGGTAGGTCCACTTCCAAACCCAGCATATCTTAAGGATATTACCTTGCAGAAATACAAAGACAAGCTGCCTTACTATCGTCGACCTGTTATTGGAAAAGAGTATGCTGATGCTTATAGTATGGTCTACCAAAGTGAATTTTCCAAAGCACCTAATTTTTTACAAGCTCTTGGCTATGATGGAGACAATTTTGCTGCTCTTACAACTGTCCCAAGGGGCTTCAAATCTGGAGACAGAAGTACATGGTTTGTTATGTTTCTTAAAATGAAAGAAAGTTGTTTTTCTGTCCAGCCAGTTGGGCTTGAAATTCTTCTTGACCATAAGAGTCTGGATGTCACCAAATGGAAAGTCACCAAAGTCTTTTACAATGGTGTTTACTTCTCTAACATGGCTGATTTGGAAAAACAGTACAATGCTGGAGGAATTACTGTGATTAAGATTAAAAATGTAACTCCAGACAATGACATTGGCTCTATGAATCCTAAAACCAATCCTAAACCTGGAGCACCTTTGCAGTTTGACCCAACTGGCAAACGGTATACTGTTAAAGACAACCAGGTATCCTTCCAGTCTTGGGACTTTTCATTTGGTCTAAATGTGAACACTGGTCTACGTTTTTTTGACATCCGATTTAACAATGAACGAATTGTTTATGAAATTGGTACTCAAGAGGCAATTGCAGTCTATGGCTCTAATGCACCAGGTGGAATGATCACCAGATACCTTGATGGCAGTTTTGGTATTGGAAGGTTCTCCTTTGAGTTAGTAAGAGGTGTTGATTGTCCTTATCTGGCTACTTATGTTGACACTCATTATCTAATGGAATCTGAGACTCCTGAAACAACGAAAAAGTCCATATGCATTTTTGAACATAATACTGGAATGCCTCTTCGTCGACACTATTCTAATATGCACTCAATGTATTATGGAGGTCTGACCAACAGTGTTCTGGTTGTCCGAGCTGTATCAACTCTTATTAACTACGATTATGTATGGGATTTTATATTCTATCAAAATGGAGTTATTGAAGCCAAGATATACGCCACTGGATATATCAGTTCCTCGTTCTACTTTGCTGATGGGAAAGATTATGGCTCAAGGGTTGGTGAACATACATTGGGAACACTTCACACGCACTTTATCAATTACAAAGTGGATATTGATGTTGGAGGTAAGATTTATAAATATCTGATTATACAAACTATAAAAAGAAACACTTGGAAATTTATATTTTATAACGTGAAGTATGATACCAACCTTAAGCTTTTCTATGTACACACAATTTTGTCTTTTCTTTATTTATTTTGTGGCATCTGAACGCATTTTATTTTAAATTGCTGACCATTTGCTGGTTCCATTCAATTTCAGTCAGCTGTGATCATAACTACAAACATATTCCATTTAATCTGTTTTTGTTCTGCATGCTACAGAACTTTGATTGGAAAAATGTTTGATGTGCCACATATGTTACAAATCCTTAAAATAAAAATCAACTATTTTCAGCTGATCTAATTAATTTCCTTTTGATGTCAGGAAAGTTGATCAAATCTACACATAGAGTTCCAATAATCATAGATATGATCGAATTAAAATGTGTATGGAGACTTTACTTGTGTTTGATTTACAAAAAAATAGAAAAATAGTGTAGTTTTCGTATATAGTAGGTACAATCATTTATTAAGAAGGACACTAACAGAGTGCAGGTGAATGGAGGCATGAAAACGGATGGTGGGACAATGAACTGGAGCTCGTAATGGATGGAATTGATGGTAGTTTGGGGAAGGAACTAAAGATGGAAGGAGGGAGGAAAGCTGGTGTTCGAGGGAAGGAGTGAGATTTTTTGATGGAGCAAGGGTTCCAGGTGTGGACTGAGAACCTGTACCCTGGGAAAAAATAATATCAAGTTTTCATGGCAGGAATGTTTTCCTGGGGTCTAATGTAAGTGTGCTATACAATGTGTACCTGGTGTAACAGTCTTTGTGGACATACTAAAAATTAGGCACTCCTAAAGGACATTTTTTTGGGACACATCTTTGCCAGAATTTGCAATTGCAGGTCTGAATGGGGAGCCACATATAAAATACCTACTGTGTGTCAGTGACTGTGGCTCTGATGTCTGAGCGGTGATGTATATCCACTTGGTGGATGAAGGAATACCAGAACAAGAATGGAGACGATTATTGGGGAGGGTGTGCTAGGAAGGTCAGATGCATGGCCATGCCCATATGTGTATTGCAGCACATGGTCTGAAGTTTGGGGTCAAGACAGTGTGCTCATCTGTGTGTGTATGACTGAGCATGTGTGTCTGGCACTGACGTTTGCACTAATTGCCCCATTTAGTGCTCAGCTCAACCTAGGAAAACTGCTCAATGGTCATCATCTCCTGTGAACCATGACCTGACCTGTGCTTCTGCTACCCTTTGTTTGACCTGACTTACCTCCTAACTCTGTTGTACCTGTATTTTCCACTGCTGACCTTGGTTAATGTCCTGACCCCAACTTCTGCCTGCTGTCTTGGTTTGTCTGCTACCCAAGTGATCTGGACTTTGTTGCTTGCTGAACTGTTACCTCAACTGCCTGGTTGTTCCAGTAACTGTGATATTGCTGACTCCTGTTTGTAGTGACTGTGATATTGCTTGCTTCTCTTACGTGTTTCTGTGCCTCATCTGCAAATTAGCATTCTGCACAGCTCCAGTCCAAAACTTTCCAGCAACTCAGCAGTATCTCCAAGTAGTGCTTACCCCCAAAGACACAGTACTTATAGCAGCAACTAAGTGTCAGGAGCATGTAAACCTGTTTATGACCCTTGGATTGGAACTTGGACTATTCTCAGAACTCTGCCTGCCTTTTGACTATAAATTTAACCCTGATTATTTTGAACCTTGTATGCCTTGTGCCTGGACTGTCATTGAATCACTCTGCTTGTCTGCCAACCGCAAGTACCTGTTTGCTGTGCTCAGTCTGCGCCTGTCCAAGCGTGGTGGCCAGGCACTACAGTATATACCGAGTACCGGAAGGCCTGCTTGCCTTATGGGAAAGGGGGCTGCTATAGGTGAAAAACACAGAAGCTAGCTATAGTGACTGACCACCAGCACTAGCGGTAAGGGTGACATTATCACAAACCTTTACCAAGAACCTTTTCTGTGAAGATGGACTCTACATAGGCTCATTTATTTAAGGAGAAGCTTTGCAAACTGATACACCAAGTCCAGGAACTGTCTGTGTGCATTAATGCACCTCCAGCAGTAATGCATGAACCAGTGCCCAAAGTTAATCTGCATGACCATTTTCTAGTGACCCCCATATGTTTTCCAACTTTAAAAAATAGTTGTATGCTATACTTTAAGCTTAGGCCATGCTCTTATGGTTCTGAAACACAGCTGATTAACCTGATTATTATATGGCTGAAGGGGGGGGGGGGGGGGGGGCAGTCTTGGGCTTTTAGTCTCCCCACAGAATACCCAGCCTGAGGGTTAGCCAAAGCATTTTTTAAAGGGTTTACTCGATGTTGATCCTGACCGTGCCCACGGGAACTAACCTTAGGTCATTACGTCAGCATACTGAGAGGATTGTTCCTCTGCCCCCTAGTACTCTGCCCACTTCTCCATCAGATCTTCCTGGGTCCTCTCAACCTCTCCAAGAGGGGGAGTGCATGCAAATTTAGGCACAGGTTCTAAGAATGCCAAGGCGGATGCCGTATCACGCAGCTTTAAGACCTGTTCAGAAACTTCTTCTAAGTTTCACAATATCTTACCTCCAGCACAAATAAAGGGGGGCCCTTTCCCCGGACCTTATGGAACCTATTTTAACAGCTCAATCTAGTGCTCTGCCCAATCTATTATTATTATTATTATACAGGATTTATATAGCGCCAACAATTTGCTCAGCGCTTTACAATATAACGGGAGACAATACAGCAACAATAAAGTTCAATACAAGAGGGATAGGAGGGCTGTGCTCCTCGGAGCTTACAGTCTACTCCATGGAAAGCTGTTTGTTCCCCTCCACCTTAGGCTTAAAGTGCTTTCAGAAGCACATGACGCTAAGACGGCTGAGCACCCAGGGATTACCAAAACTTTTGCTTTGGTTTCTCATGGGCTTTGGTGGCCCTCTCTCTATAAGGACTCATGTTTCTATGTAAAAGCTTGCGAAACCTGTGCTCGCTCTAAGTCCTCAATAATAAAGCCCTCTGCATTATCCCTACCTTTTCCTATCCCTAACCGCCCTTGGATGTACATCCAGGCTACCTTGTCCTCAAGTTCTGTTGTCTCTACATCTGCTGATGTGGTCCAGTCTGCTCCTAATCTGGTCCAGCCCATGCCAATTGAGCCTACTGCTTTTTCTTATCAGGACTTTCAGTAACCTGACCTCACCCTACTGCAACTACATCTGTTCACACCTCTCTAAGAAGTTCCATCTGTCCTTTGGATAAGACTGCCTCATTTGGCTAGGTGGAGCCCTCAACCTCTTATTAAAGCCACTCAGCATCCAGCCTGTGTTACAGCTATCCAGTTTGACTCCAGGGACATGTCACCTGCTATCCAGCCTGACATTACTCGTTTTCTCTCTACTGTCCAGTTTGGCTCCATAGACGCTTTGCCTGATAACCAACCTAACCTCGCTGATGCCCTGACCTTTGCTCAGCCTGATGGTTGTGTGTGTTTGATGCCCAGCCTTATGGTCTGATGCCTTGTGTCCAGCCTGCCTCTGATGGTCCAGTGCCCCATGTCCAGCTTGTTTCTCATGGTCCTGTGCCCAATGTCCAGCCATGAAGCTGCTGCTGATGGTGACAATACAATTTTTATTTTATTTGTATTCATTGGTTTTAAGAATTGCAGTTAGAGGTATATTAGTTAGTGAACACAGAAAACAAAAGTCGACAATAGCATTTTTTTTCCTTTTTTTTTTGGTGTTGGGGGCAGGCATCATACAAAGCAATAGAAACCGATTCTAAAGCAAATATCTTTCTGCAAATGTAAAGATGTAAGTTGGTGACAACACCATTGCTTGTCAATACACTTTGACATTTGGAAAGGATAGTGTAAGGTCATTGTGAGATCATGTGAATTTGGAACTGGGCCAGTTCAGACCACTAGCACAGTTTGTATATTCAATAATTTATAGGGCCCAGTAGGCCGCTCCCTCCCTGAATATCCCCTCCTAGCACAAATCCTTTATCCCTCAAACATCCGCTCTGACCAAAAATTCTCTCTCCCCTCCTAATCTCCCTCTCCCAACACAAATCCCCCCAAACACCTTCCTAGCATTTATCCTCCCCCCGTTTTCTCCTCCTAGCATAAATCCCCCCAGTCATTACTGCTAGCACAAATCCTCCCTCCCCCCCCCCATACCTCTTCCTAATACAAATCCACCATCCTGGTACAAATCCCCCTCCAAATCACTCCTCCTGGCTCTGATAAGAGCTAATCTTTTTTTTTACATTTTGAATGGACTGTCTTTTCAAATACAGTAATACCTCAGTTTAAGAACACCTCGGTTAAAGTAATTTTCAGTTTTACAAATGAAAATCCACTGAAAATAATGCCTCAGTTTACAAATTTGGTATGAATTTTTTTTGCAATACGAAGTGTATGTCAGTGCTGATTTTTAAATGCAATTGCTGGCTCTTTTTTTTTTCTTCACTATAGCTCACAGAATTAGCTGTCACTTTCCCCAAAGTTAACAGAAATGTTGTTTCTTTTAAGAAACTAAAAAGAAACATTGTTTGCCCCCCCCCCCCCTTTCCTGACCTGCCAGGCTGCATGCTTTGAAAAGGGTCTGGTATGGATTTTGGGGAGGACCCTCACGCCATTTTGTTTAAAATTTTGGCGTGGGAGTTCCCCTCAAAATCCATACCAGACACAAAGGGCTTGGTATGGATGGGAAGGGGGACCCCACGCAGTTTTTTTAATTATTTTTTTTTTAATTGCCGGCAATTCGTTTACATTCAGCTGTCAGTGGGGAACCCCGCTGACAGCTGAAATATTAACACATGGTTGTCACTACTAAAATGCTGCATGACTTGATAAAATAACTCATGCGGTATTTATTAGTGTTTACTTTTTTCTGATCTCCGGAACAGATTAATTGGTTTTCAATGCATTCCTATGGGAAACGGCGTTTCGGTTTAAGAATTTTTCGCTATATGAAAAGTCCTGCAGAATGAATTAAATTCTTAAACCGAGGTATTACTGTAGTTGGAAAATGTAGACTAATTTTTGAATTTGTAGTTATCCTTCAGTTTGTTTGAATGTTTGTAACTTTGGAAAAAGTTTGCAGCTTCTGAGCCAAGTCCACAGCATTTCTTGCTGCATTCCCCACCATGTCATACTTCACTTTACATCCACAAGTCACTGCCTTTTCAGCTCATAGTGGCAAGGACACTGCGTTTCTGGTAACATCAACAGGCATTTTATGTTCTTGCTAAAAATATAGTTAGGCTAAAAAAAGTGAACTAATAGAGCCACATATCTATGATCTGGTAAACCGCAATATATTACCTTTTTTGGGTTTATGCTTTAAGAAAGAAACAATGTGATAGAATGTTGGTCCAGACAGTTATTCAATTACTTTTGGGGATCAGAAAGAAATGTTTTTCTTCTGTGCCTATTGGCTCTGTGCCAGGGCTCCATTCACAAAAGCAAATTGCATGCAGTACTAAATATCACATGCGAACCGTCAATTCATCATACTGTTATGCAGTGAAAAAAACGGCCACCTAGCATACCTCGGGTGATGACATCAAAAGGGGGCAAACCCACCTTGTGACATCATCAGGTAGCCCCCACCCCTTTATTTATTTAGCAGCGAGAGGCTGCAGAGCTGTCATTCAGCTGGAAACTTCATCAGGTGCGGACCTCTTTTTTCTTTATTTGGGGGGGGAGGGGGCAGTGGATGGATCGCAATTGACATTGGATCTACTTCGAAGGACATTTATTTTTGGTTTTATTTTTTGTTTATGAATAAAGGACTTGCAAATCCCACCAGAATGGAAACATTTAAATAAAAAATTGCTGTGCTATCTCAATAATAGTGTCAGCATCTATATGATATATATCGCAGAAACTGAACAGACCAGCATTTCTAGCCAAACTGGAGACATTTAAATGAAAAATTGCTGTGCTGTCCTAATAATGGTGTAGCCCTCTGTGTGATATATCACAAAAGCTGATTAACACAATTGGCTGTCAAGGCCCCTTTAAGAGGAAACCTTACCTTTAGTGATGTATTGGGCAGAGTTAGTGCCTGTATAAATGTCAGGATGGGAGGAGCCTAGTTAGTTGGTGCATGGGAGCCAACAACCTCAAATTCATGCAGATGAAGTAAGCAACTGCCCAAAGGCCCTTAACAGGGCTGAAGGCCCAGGTGAGGTAGTTCAACACCCAGAAGGACCAGCTGTAGTTCACCTGACTTATTTACAGTGTTTTGTGGGCCTAGAGTGGAATGCAAAAGGCATTCCAGGCCACAGTCCCCTGAAGTGAGTTCTAGTTCTAGTTTTAGTACACCTGGGAGTGAGTGTACCATCGGGAACGGGAAGTGTGTCCAGTTGGGCAGAACTATAGGAGGAACATTGAGAAAGAGACTGGTATACTAACAAAGCCACCTGTTTCATACTGATGGAAGCTGAAGGCTGTGGACTTAGTATACATGGGGGAAAAAGGTCCCAACACTGTGGTGCTCCCAAGGAGAGTAGGTGATAAAGGTAGGTGACTTACAAATTGTGCGTTTGCATTTTGCTCCTAAGTGATAGTTACAATCCTGCTCCTGTGTATGGCGTTCCATGCTGAAGAATTCTAATTAATTAATGATTAATTGTATGGACATTCCTTTATTCTTAAATATTAAGGCCTATGGCCAGGAATGTCCTGATCTGGCTTACGGCAAGGAGTTTGGCACAGTATGGCAAAGGGTTCCATCTACCAGCAAGTGGGTAGCTGTCCTATCCAAGAAGAAGCAAGGCGGGACTTAAGGAGTTTGGAGAGCCAATCACAAGCACTATTACAATTATGTTAACAAGGTGTAACGTACATGTAAGATTTGAGTGGATAGAATGTGATCAGTAGCAATATGTAATCGGAGGGACATTCCATCCATTGTCATCAAGGATGTGTATTTAGTCCTTGTTACTGGGAACATTTGTGATTCGTACGGAGCTGGTTCGATCGACCAACGGATTGCTGTTTCTCTGACTTGCTCCATTCGCAGGGTAAATCCTGGTAAAGTTTTACTTCTGTCTTTTATTCCCTTTTATTTTATAGTAAATAGTCATTTGTGTGTCTTCTTATATTTTTTGTATTTTCTGTAACTTTTTACATTTTGTACATATTTTATGCACTACCCACTTTGGGAAATGAAATCTTAAAATAATTAGTGACTTCTGTGTATTTAGGCACATGCTCATATCTTCGGAGAGATTGGATTGGAGAGATTAGATTGGATTAGATTAAGTTGTATTGTATTTTAGTGCCTTTAAACACTCGGTCAAGCTCATTGCCAATCTGTATGCAATTGCACTGTGTGTGGGCAGATTGCATGCAGATTGTAAAAGTTAACAGGCAGAGATCTGTGTGTGTGGGGTATCCCAGCAGACCGTTCTGCGGATAATTGTTGGGTGGTGGCAGGCTACCTTTTGTGGTGTGTCTGGTGGGGCAGGGGGGGGGGGGGGGGTGGACAGTGGAAGGGTGATTAACACTGGGGTTCAAGCTGTACATAGCTGGAGGGACCTTAGAAGGGTGGGTAATTACTAAGCTGGTCCTCAACTCTAATCAGTGCACCAGATTGTATGTAAGATTTGTATCTGCCAATGTGTGGTCGACCAGCTGGATTAGAGTGGAGTCTCCATCTGGTGGTGGCCAGAGGTAGTGCGGGCTGTGAAAGTGTGTCATGGCTGATCTTATATACAGTTTTATATATTCAAAGTTAAGTCCCCTTTATTCCCTCTTTACCCCCCTGTCACGGCCGCACGTGTGTGCCTCGGTTAGCTAGTCGCTGTGCGTGGCGTGTGGGGACCCGTGACAGGTTGGTCGTGACACAAGGGTTAGCAAAACTCCCTGTGCTCCCAGTATATAGGAGAGATACCAACCAGCCACCACCCCCACCCTGACCACTGCTCTAACAAAAATCGCTCCCACTTCATGAGCCGAGCTGTTGATTTAAGCAGTGTTCAAGGGCACGTCGGAGGGTTGGGCTGCTGCATGTGTCTAAAGGCCAATACACACAATCAGTAAATCGTATGAAAAATACAAAGAATTATCCGATTGGAGAAGCACAAAATTTTTCTTGTACAATAACAGATCGTATGATTTTCATTTAATCAGTAGTTTTTGTCCAAAAATACAATACAAATACAATACAAAACATTACATCACTTCTGAATTTTTATTCTATCATACAAGTTTTTTCGTAACTTTAGTAACCTCTTCATTTTCTATATGGAGACTAACATGCAAAAAAAAAAATGGGTGAACATTCATCTGGTAATCTCATCGTGTGTACCAGGCTTAAGACAATCCAACTCTTCTTATGCTGCAAGCTTTTAACCTCCTTAGCAGTTTTCCCGAGTGTAGCTCGGGGTAAAATTTGAGTACCAAGAGCGGTAACCCCGAGCTACACTCGGGCTTACCATGCGGCGTTGCTCTGGGGGTCCCTGCAGCACTTACCTTGTCCTTCGCTCCCGCACTGTGTCCCCTGCAGCGTCCCCGGCCATCTCCTCCGGCCGATGCTGGCATCCGGCTTCCGTGTTCCAGTCCCTGTGACGTCGGGACGTACGGGCGCCGGAACAGGTGGGAAATTTGAAATTTTTAAAAAATGTAATTTTTGCTGTCATTGCTGTTTCAATGCATTTCACATATATTTTGTCCCTACTGCTTTGTCCTGTGCCCTGCCTGCATTTTGACTGTTCTTTCTGCCTGGAAACTTAGAAAAGTCCATGGCGTCCAAAAAGCGTCCCTTTACGTCAAAAGCGGTTTTAGAACAGCGATAGTAAATCAGAACCACTTGCAGAATTGAGTGATAATAATTTGTGGGGAAATCCGTCATCAGACACTGAAAATGATTTTGTGACTTTGCTCAGCGATGTGCGAATTTGACTCTGTATTTCAAATTTCAGTGTGATTATTTCGGTTTGATTATATTATTGAATTAAATTTATTATTATTATATTATTATTTTTTATGATTATTTATTAAATTATAATTTATGATTTCGTGTTTCAAGTTTTATCATATCCGGAATGTTTACTAGACTCTTGTTCGGACAGATTTCAGTGAGTTATTCCTAAAAATTACAGCCTACAATAAAAAACTACATATTTCCATGCAAAAAAAGTACCGCTTTCAGCACAAAAAATCAGAAAGAATCATACCGCCGAGGAGGTTAAAGTAGCTGATACAAAATTAAAAAAAGAGACATACTGTATTTACTACAGTAAAAACAGCTGGACTGCATTACAAAATTAAATTAAAAGGGTTCAAGTGAACTTTAGGCACACAAAGACATATATATATAAAATAAACAGACACCTTTCCGTTTTATAATTTAAACAATATTTTTTTTAGGCATCGCTAATTCAGTTATGACTCAGGATATGCAGTTTAATCCTTTAAACATCCCGTGGCAGACAGACGTCAAGATACAGAGGCCAAAGGTGGTACGGAATATGTTGGAGACTGAAAATAAAGCTGCATTTGAGCAGAATGCCAAGATGCCTCGGTATATCCACATTGCCAGTAATTCCACAAATAAATGGGGTCACCCTCGTTCCTACAGAATCCAGATAGTCAGCTTTGCCGGAGAACCTTTGCCAAAAGAAAGTCCTATGGAGAATGCAATGGGATGGGCCAGGTAAGGCATAGTGGTGAGAAAAACAATTTTGAAATCAGATATGATCTACCTAAAGTTGGCCGACATGGACTAAAGTTTGGCCGGTTCAGTAGGAACCCGTTGAATTTGGATCCATGTACAGTATGGCTGTTCCTGTTCATGAGAAGTCGATCTAATATTTTCTGTTTTTCTTGAATTAATGCATGTAGATGTTTCCAGCCTGCATAACTCAATATTAACACCTGAAATCAGAAAGCACTGCATGTATATGTTTTAGCTAATCATAACTGAGGGCATCAGCTGTTCTCGATGTTTCATAATATGCAATGTTCTTTTAGTCAGCTACAGGGGTGGACTGACAACTTATGGGGCCCCCGGGCAATAGGGGATCATGGGGCCCCTGTGTCCTCGCCCACACTCAAACCAAACCCAAAAAAGCCTATGAAAGGTACCATGGACATCTCATGGGGCCCCCTACTGACCCCGGGCCCTGTGTCGGTGCCCAAGTTCCCCAATGGTCAGTCCACCCCTGGTCAGCTAGAGAAATTAGTCATTATGGCTTTAAAGGGTCACTGTCACATTGCCTATTCAGGTCCCCTTACCTGCTGATTCTCATTGCTCCCTCGTTCTCCCTCTTTCTTCTCAGCAGGCACAAAATACCTGGTGCTTTCAAATATGGGCAAGCATGTGACCCCCTCCAAAGAATCAAGAGCTGAATAATGGAGGAGGTGACATTACTGCTCTCCCAGGCTCCAACATCAGCCAGTATTTTGGTGGCAGCTGTGAAGAGAAAAAAGTATCAGGGAGGTCTGGGGTGGTGAGTATTATAAAATCAGGGGACCTTAGCACAGACACTGCCATTTTTGTCTAAGTGGGCCAAGTGACGTAGTCTACCATTATTTATTGCTATCCCAGTTAAGGATGGTCATAACTACTTGATAATAATAAGCTGTTGTAAGCATCTCTTGTAACAGTTCAGCAGTTTTTGTCCTCCTAGAGCAGCGGTTCTCAACCTGTGGGTCGCGACCCCTTTGGGGGTCGAACAACCCTTTCACAGGGGTCTCCTAAGACCATTGGAAAACACATATTTCCAATGGTCTTAGGAACCAAGACACTGCTCCTCTATCAGTCTCCAGGCGGGTCCGCCCACATGCAGATACGTCCACATTTCCCTGGACCGCGATGTGTGCATGGGATGACGTGCCGCCCCTGTCATCTGGCCACATCCCCAGGATCACTCAACAGCTCCGCCTCCTCGCCAGTGATTGGCCGCCGGAACTGTAGCACAGGAGAGGCACACAGGCGGCCAATCACCGGTGAGGAGGAGGAGCCGAGCAGCAGCGCGAAGATCAAAGAAGATCGAGCAAGGGAGCGGCCGGAGGAGGAAGACAGCTGACAGGTAAGTGTCTGTAGCGTGCAGATGGTGCTGCTGCAGCAAGGTATGCTGGCCAGAGATGGGACAGGGAGGGAGCGAGCCCAGGCTGGAGCAGGAGTCAGCAAGGTAAGTATCATTGGTGTCAGTAGGAGGAATAGTGCCCCATCATTGGTGTCACTAATACCAATGATGGGGCACTATTCCTCCCACTGACACCAATGATGGGGCACTATTCCTCCCCCACTGACACCAACGATGGGGAACTATTCCTCCCCCCACTGACACCAACGATGGGGCACTATTCCTCCCCCTACTGACACCAACGATAGGGCAATATTCCTCCCCCCACTGACACCAACGATGGGGCACAATTCCCCCCCACTGACACCAATGATGGGGCACAATTCCCCCCACACTAGTATCAATGATGGTGCACTATTCTCCCCCCCCCCACTGACACCAATGATGGGGCACTATTCCTCCCACACTGACACCAATGATGGGGCACTATTCCTCCCACTGACACCAACAATGTGGCACTATTCCTCCCACTGATACTAATGACGGGACACTATTCCTCCCACTGATACCAATGATGGGACACTATTCCTCTCACTGACACCAATGATGTGGCACTACTCCTCCCACTGCAAAATTACAGTTATGAAGTAGCAACAAAAATAATTTTATGGTTGGGGGTCACCACAACATGAGGAACTGTATTAAGGGGTCGTGGCATTAGGAAGGTTGAGAACCACTGTCCTAGAGGGTAATTACAAGAACAACTGATAGTCAGAGGCCCTTGCCATTGCGTACAATACCGGTGCAGAGTCATGTAGAGCCCAGGCAAGGATGCAGAACTATGCCCCTCCCCCACTGTTAATGCATATTGTAGAATGGGTTTACTGCCCTGTGTCCATTGTCTGCCCCCTTGCTCCACCGTGTTTAGGGCACCTTCCCCTCCTGCCCACCCCTTTTCCTGGCAATGATTGTGTAATCAGGACACCATTTTTTAACTTTTATATAGAAGAAAGATTAAAAGTTTCACAGTTGTTTTACTACACTATTTGCCCATCTGTGGGAAGCCTAACTTGAAGCTTCTCACATTTATTCTGCCCATAGAAAGTTCTTTTCAATTGCTACCAATGCTTAACAAGAGAATAAAGTCCAACTCCATCCATATCTTTTATGTTGCTTTGGAAAGCTGTGGGCAGAATAAATGCTTATGTCAAGTTTTATTGCTGTCTGTGAAGACTGCACCTGCCATACACTGTGGTATAGTGGCAATTATTATTATTATACAGGATTTATATAGTGCCAACAGTTTGTGCAGCACTTTACATTCATTGTAAATGCCATTCTAATACAGTAGTACAGTATAAAGCAGGGCACTAAAATGCACATGCCTGGTAAACTTTGTTGAAAACAATAAGCCATTCAAAGTTTATGGTTTGCCTTTACACAATGCTCTTTATTGGGCCCTGAAAGAATATATATAAAGTCACGGCTTGGCACATACCTTGGTTGTTGTATTTGGGTGTGTTTACACTGTAGTATATAAGAGAAGACTGCTGTGAAGGGCTGGGAATGTGGTTGGGTGCATCCCCTATGAAAGTGCACTTAGGGGTCCATTTAACAATGTTTTTACCCAACTTTTACCCATGGTTCATACATTTTCTAATCAAAGCCTATGTAAAAACGTGTGAATCTTGGGTGATTTAGGGGTAAAAACATCCCTCGGTCTTTAATTTTTCTAAATTTATACTATGTTAGTTACAATAATTTAGTAAACTACCTCCAATTTATGGATTACGCAACCCTAAAAAATTCAGGTTGTAGAAACATTCCAAAGTCACTGTGTGATGCAATAAAAATTGGAGCTGATTTACCAAAGGATATGAGCAAATCATATGCTACAGAGGTTCCTATGCATCCATGATGCATGTTTAAAAGTGTGCAAAGGCTACAAGATATATACACAGACCTTGCTAGCAAGCCCTACTGTTCAAAAGAAGATAAGAACTCAAGGTGGTACTTGGATTTAAAAGGAGGTTTGATTAGATGCTTGAGAGATATGGCCTGCAGGTATAGTAGAAGAAGTAGAAAAAGTCTAATAAGCAAGAAAAAAGGAGAATTTATACCAACACACAAACAGATTTATGGTATAAAAGAATTCATGCGACACCAAAGGGATCATATGCCGTATCAAGTGTGCCCACAAGAACAATATGTGGGTAGAACATAAAGGGAGTTAAAGGAATGAGAGAACACATATACTGTATACAGTAAGGTTCATCAAAGGGAAGAAAAAAACATTCATTTCATGATCGCTACAGGCAAATTCATAGTGGTACCATTTTTTAGGCACTTCAAAAGGTACAAAGAAACTCCAGAGTTGGTGATTATATAAAAAGTATGTCCCAAACAGAATCCAGATGGATTTTTACAATGAATACTCTATCACCTTGGGGCCTCAACACAGAGACAGAACTCTATGCTTTTGATTGACTATCTTACCGACATGGAACCGTAGGACAGAACAATTGGTCTTATTTTAGCAAAACAAAGTTTGAGCTTTTATTTTGACTAATTATTATATATTGAACCTTAACATAACTTCTGAAACTTCTGGTTTGTAAAAAACCTTAGGTTCATAATATTTATAATGGAAAGTTTTTTATAAATAGCTGCCCACTATGGAAAATAATAAAATTATTTTATTGAGCCTAAAAGTGCTTATACAGTTTTTATTTTTATGTTTTTTTATGTTTATTTTGTTCCTTATAAAATAAACTTCCTTCTTGGTAATGAGCACTTTTAAAGTTTTTATTTTTCTGTAAAATATTGCAAAATATTTTAATTATTTTTCATTATCTTTATCCATTTACTATTTTTTTAAAGAAACACATCCAGGGACAGCCAGACTATCTAGTGATATCCCACATGTGCTTGCGCTGCTCTCTTTGAAACTCGCTATCCCACTGGCCACGAGACAAGTCAGGTCTGCATATTGGAACCAATACACATTATTGGAATACTGTATCTGTACTGTGAGACCCTACAAAAATAATTATCACAAGAGGAATGGGCCAGAGCTAGTCTGTACTAAAAAGTCTGTACTGCAAAGCCTAGCTCTTATCATTTAAGGTTACTTTAAAAACACATAATTTGTAAAAAGCCTCAGTGAACTGTTCGCAGAGAAGTATTTTACAGATGTACAGTAACAGTAGTTTAGGAAAAAGCCAATGCAGGCGTTTCCATACATTCCATGGTACTCTGAATACAGTTTTGAGTCATAAACATAGTGTTAGGGATCCGGGTGTGACCAGAAATGTGTGGACTGACACAGGGAAGTAGCAGGCTTCAGGAACACAAGCGTAGTCAGGGCTGGAGAGGTGGAATGGTCAGGTGGGCCGTAAGGTACTGTCAGGCACCGCCTGGCGGGATCTCTAGTGACCCACAGACCAGGATTCCCCAGGGCGCAGAGTCTAAGCCCCAGTCTGCCTTTTCACCAGAGCCCCTGATGGTAGGGATGGACTTGGCGCAGGACTGAGACCAGGTCGCGGCCCCTGAGTGCACCCAACTGTGGTAGAGGGGTCTGCCGAGGGTATGTACCGGGGGGAAAGCCTGATGTGAAGGGGCTGGCAGGTTTGGACAGTAGTGACTGGATCCGTGCGGGATGGATGGATCGTCTGGGTAGCGTCAGGCGTAGTCAGGCAGGACAGGTCAGCAACGTGCGGGCAGTGAGGTACCGGAGGAGCAGGCAGAGAATAGTCAGGGTCACAAGCCGGGTTCAGTAACTCACAGGCAGCGCGGTACAGAGGATCAGGCAGAAGGATGGTCAGGCAAGCCAGGGGTTCAACAGGAGACGGTCAGCAGAGGTCAGGATCAAAGCAGGGTCAGCAACTAGGCAGATAGGCAGGAACACAGGTTACCAGGTACAGGGGCTCATAGGAAACATACACCAAGGCCCTGATCACAGGCCTGGTCCTGCTTAAATACACCTCCTACAATCAGCTTCAGCTGATGGCTGACTGCAGGAGTGAGCTTCTGGTTGCTGAGAGCACCCGTTGGTCAGCCCTGGTACTGCAGCCCACACGGCAGGTGAGTCCCACCACCAGTGCTGAGTCCATTCCTGACACATAGCCGGATTTAGGGGAGTGCTCAGATGGGCTATGGCCCCCCAGATTTTATTTGTCCCACCCCAAAGCCAACCCTAACCTGCCACTCTACTGCCCTAATCTGACACTATACCACCCTAATCTCTTACTTTACCATCGTAGTTTGACACTATACTGCCCTAGCCTGACACTATACGGCCCTTGACTGACACTATACTGATCTCAGGTATGCGTTGTGTGGGGAGGAGGAGCTCTTCTGCCTGTGCCCAGGCTGTGTGCAGTGCAGGGGTGGAAGAAGGAGCTGTGCTCTTGTCCTCTGCTCTGCCAGCAGTGACCCCTGTCTTCTGTCTAGCCAGCAGTGAGCCCTGTCCTCTGACCTCCCATCTTCTGCCCTGCTGACATTTTTTACTACACCCCCACATTGGACAGGCTAGATCCAGCTCTGGTCATATATACCTCTAAAAAACATGCCTAGCCGCAGTAGATTCTCTGTCTCGCACATAGGCTGCCTACCAGATGGAGAGACCCCAGGGGAGACAGCTCTGATCACACCCTCCCAAACATTTATCTTCTCACCAGCCACACCTTCTGGGTCAGCCTCCCAAGGTTTGTAATGTACAGCGCTGAGCGAACTGTTGGCGCTTTATAAATACTGTATAATAATAATAAGGATTGGCTAAGGTCAGATAAACATTCATAATCCAGGGACTGATTTTCCCTCATTATTTTTGGAACATTCTTCCAGATTCAGGCAGAAGCAATAAGCCACCAGGTTTAGGGGATACACCTGATCAGCTCTAAAAAGTAAATTGCAGCTCAGCTGTTTACAGCAAAGCAATACACTAAATTTAGCCAGCCCAGGGCAGGGGCGCTACACTTGATGTTCAATCAGCATGGCAAACTAGGACAACACCGTATGCCTTGGCCAATTGTGTGTGATCTGCTAGATGGGTTCAAAAACTGCGTCATGCACAGATGATGCAAGCCTAATGCAATTAATTTTACCTGCTCTAGGCCTATTCAATGAAGACGAGAAGCAGAATAATCACAAGACAGCACTGGGAACCACTTTGAAATTCTAAAATTGTAATGATGGTCAAGCATGGCAATAACTTTTTTTTTCCATAAGGTACAAGCTAGCAGTGACCAAGCGTAAAGAAGACGAACCTGAGAGCAGTTCCATTTTTAATCAAAATGATCCTTGGACTCCTAGTGTAACGTTCTCCAAATTCATAAATGATGAGAATATTCAAGATCAGGTGAGTGAAAGATATTTGAAAGGCTGACTCTACCCAAGTAGATATTGCCATTTTCAGTGAACACAGGCAGCTTCTTATATCTGTTTCTTAGATATCTTGCAACAGTTTATGCCTCAATACCTTTTCTGCAAGGTGGAATGACAGTATCACTTTCTCACTGGTAAATTCTAGACATGCACAGTATGCATATTCCACATTATATTTTACTGTAGCATGAAACATGTTGAAGGATGTCCATTCTCTGGAGTCCCTTAGAAATGGGAAGTTACCTTCTGATTCAATGTGTAAGCAACAGTGCAAAACTGAAATATTGTGGCATGATTTTTATGGTATTGATCTTTTGGTAATTTTTTTGAGGGGCATGGCCACTCCACCACAATTTTTGTAAAATACACTAAATGTTTTTCATGTATTCATTTTCTCCATTTAAAACTAGCAGCTATTTAAATATTAACTCTAATTTATAGACTGCTAAATGAGTACAAATGGTGCACTACCGACTGGTGACTTAACAATTCTGGAATTTCTCTTCGTTAAGGTAGTGAGTATCTAAAGATATACTAAAGTGTATTTAAAGGCAAAGGGAAACCTCCCCATTAGGGCACAGGCAGCACAAAATAACCCAATAATATTTTTAACCTTTCCTTACTCCCTATCCAAAACACATACAAAATTTTGGCTTTACCCCACAAGAGTCCAATAACTCTGGAAGAGGTCATCTGGAAGTAAGTGAAGGCACACCTTATCCATAACCTATACACACGATACCCAGCACAGGGGGCACAGTACAAAAAAAGACATGCTCTGCACTAGGGAGCAATGATTAACCTAAATCTTATGAGAAGACACTCTAGTCCATTGCGAGAGTGTCTTCACACAATATTTAGGTTGATCTTTATTCCCCAGGGTCTCACCTAAAGAAGGGTGACATCACTATCATACATCATACTAGCATACATGTAAGAGTGGGGTAAGGTAGCTATTAAATATTTTTTTATTTACTGGTAACTTATGGACCAACTAAAAGAAGGAGGGTGGGGGGGGGGGGTAGACAGTATATATGGACCTTACATTGCACCACAAGTGTTGCTTGTTAGTATGTTAATATTTTAATACCAAAGGAGGGTACTGTATATCATTTACAAGGGGGAGTTGAAGTCAAACCAGGACTTTTAATTTTACGGGTATAAAAAGGAATGCTAGCATGGTGGTACTACACGCAGTAGTAAGTGGCAAGTGTGTCCTACTACTGATAGGTGGTGCACATGTCATGTGGCAGTCCAGAGACTGTTAATCAAGATGGCAGATAAAAGTGTTAGCACGTGCATGGAGCAGAGTATTGGCGATGACGTTTCTTGTGAACGAAGGCGTAAAACCCACCAATATCACCAAAAGACTTCAAGCTCAGTATGGTGATGAGATGCTCAGCTGCAGTAAGACATTTGAATACGTGTAAATGTTTCAAAGATGGCCGTACGACCATCGGTGACAATCCCGGCCTTGCTGGTTCCAAGCCTACAGCAGTCATTCCTGTGAACATTCAGTGCATGGAATGCCTAATCCTGGATAACTGATGCATAACCTGTCATGAAATTGAACAAATTGAGACAAATCTTTCTGTGGTCAGTATTTCAGCACTGATAACAAAGTGATGCAAACTGTCTTAGGATAGTTCAGGCATACTGACAAATCTTTCTATGCCGAAGCTTTCCAGGCATTAGTTAAACACTGCGGTAAGTAAATAAATGTAGCAGGGGAGCATGTAAAAAAATAAATACAGTTTCCACTCCTTGAAATTTGTTCTTTTATTATATTTGAGGTGATTGTAGCCGTATTAGTGCACTTGCGACAGAAACAATTGAGTACTGTCCGTGATACTTTTTTTATTTGCACTAACATATAATTTTGAGGACAAGCTTTCGGGGAATGTTCCCTTCTTCAGCTCCAAGCAGCAGTACTGATCACAATGTTTTAGCAGAATGTTAGAAGAGATGTAGGGGATGAAAAAAAAAAAAAGAGAGAACAGAGATAAGACACAGCAAAAGCAAAGTCTGGGGTGGGGGGAAACAACACTCACAGAGGCAGTCATGCTTGAGGTGATATATTCATAAAACTGTTGGATAATGATTGAGGAATCCCATGTCCAAATTCAGGCCATTATCTCTTGTGTCAAATAGAATTATCATTCTTAGTTCAAATGTTTTTCTTTCCTGAATGGATTTGAAATTTCCTTTAAGAACTAAAATATTGAGGTCCCCCAAAGTGTGGTCTGGTTGTGCGAAATGGTGTCCCACAGGTGTGCAAAAGTCATCTTCTTTATGTTCCTTGATGGTATGTCTGTGCAAATTCATCCTTGTTTGCAACTTCTGTCCTGTTTCGCCAACATAAGATCCTTTGCTACATTTTCTGCACTGGATAAGGTACACAACATTACTGGATGTGCAGCTGTATGACCCAGAGATATTGAAGTAGAAATTGAAGATATTGGAGATATTGAAGTTCTCGGAGATACATCTCTTCTAACATTCTGCTAAAACATTGTGATCAGAACTGCTTGGACATGAAGAAGGGGACATTCCCCGAAAGCTTGTCCTCAAAATTATATGTTAGTGCAAATAAAAAAAGTATCACGGACAGTACTCAATTGTTTTCTTTTATTATACAAACTCAAAAGTCCCAGTTTGATTTGAACGCTTCTCATATTAAAATTTGGTTTCTATTTTAAATCAGTACTGTTTTTTTTTATAAGACATTCATTATTTTGTAGTGGGAAATGTGAGATTTAACCATATGGATTTGAATACAAAGGGCTAAAGGACTACTATGTTAGTACTGGTTACTTCCTTAGTTTGATCCTGCTCTGTATCTTATGAAGCATTTATCAGCAATGTACAATTCTCATTGACATATCTCTTCCACAGGATTTGGTTGCCTGGATTACAGTTGGATTTCTTCATATACCCCCACTCGGAGGACCTCCCAAACACTGCCACTCCAGGAAACGGTGTTGGGTTCTTCCTTAGACCCTACAACTATTTTGACATTGATCCTTCTATCTATTCTCCAGATGGGGTTTATTTCCAAAGTGCACAGGATTACAGTTCGTGTGATGTTAACCAAATAGCGTGCATGTCCAAAACAGGGTCTTGTGTTCCCAAGATCCCTCCTTTCACTTATGAAGGCTTTAAGAATCTTGTGAATTTATAAACCAAAGTATATACATGTGTTCTGTGACAACTAGAGGATGTATGATTCCCCCCATGATTTTTGATGTATGATTTTTGAGTTACTACTTCACATATCAAGTTGTTACAACTGCTTAAGGAAACCTTCAAGGGTAAATCGAGCTCTATGAAAGAGATAGGTAAAATTAGCAATCAATCACACGGATTTTTCAACTTTTTGGTAAAGCTCTTTTTATGGTCCCTGTTGCTCCCACTGCTTTGGGGTACTTAAAGCTGAAATATAAGGACTGATAAAAATCTGTGCATCTGCTACATTGCAAGGGTTGAATGCTTGTTAAAGAAGAACTTCGCCCCTGCTTTTTATTAAACCCTCTTACCTTGTCGTCCTCAATTCACATCCAATGAATGTCCTGTCCAATGAATGGAGCATTTTCTGCTGCAATCGGCTGCCCCACTGCCACAGCCCAGTCCTGTGTCTCAGTCTTCTTTCCTGATGCCATCAGAAGTCAGTTATCCCTTCCCGATTCTTGCAACTGCCCACCGATGAATTACTGTCAGGGTGATAGGGCCAGAGTAAAACAAATTTTACAAACATTTTGCAGAGAAGTAAAGACATTTTGGGAGTGAGCTTTAAAGTGGTACTCCATCCAAAAGGGGAATTTCTACTTGTTGGCATCCTCCACCTCTCCACTGCCACATTTGGCACTTTTTGGGGGGGAGCGGGTACCTGGTTTTGACAGGTACCCGTTCCCATTTCTGGTTGATTTTGCTGTGATGATCTCCAGCCACTCCTTCCCCCTGCAGCCTTTTGGGACACAGCAGACTGTGGGGCCAATCAAAAAGCACAGCGCCACTTGCGCATGTGCAGTAGTTAAGATGCTGGCACCTGCACCCAAAGCAAGGAAATCTTCTCGGGTGCGGATATTGCCAGACACCTGGACATGTAAGTGTCCTTATATTAACCAGTTGCCGACCGCAGGTAACCGAATGAAAGCTGCACTGTGGTCAGCCAGTTCTGGGAGGCCATCATATGACGTCCTCCAAGTATGCACTCTCCTGCGCGCCCCCGGGGGCGCGGCACCTGGCGATCTCTGTGATCGCTGTGTTCTACGGACACAGCTGATCATGTGATGTGGTAAATGGCCAATCACAGTGGCCTTTTACCATGTGATCAGTCGTGTCCAATGACACTCTGATCACCGGGAAATGCAATTGCCGGTTCTTGGCTGCACTTATCTCACGCTGTCAGAGCGTGAGGAAAGTACTGCAGAGAACCGGCAGATGTCAGAGCAGAGATCGGCACTGATCATCAGGGCACCCACCAGTTCCTCTCACAAGTGCCCAGCAGTGCTGCCTACAAGTGCCCAGCAGTGCCACCCACCAGTGTCCCAGCAGTGCCACCCACCTGTGACCAGGAGTGCCACCCACCGGTGCCCAGCAGTGCCCACCAGTGCCACCAAGCTGTACCCCATCACTGCCACCCATCAGTGCCACCCAGCAGTGCCGCTAGTCAGTGCCCAGCAGTGCCGCCAGTCAGTGCTGCCTATCAGTGCCAACTATCAGTACCCATCAGTGCCTGCTCATCAGTGCCGCCTATCAGTGCCGCCTATCCGTACCACCTCATTAGTGCTGCCTACCAGTGCCACCTATCAGTGCCCATCAGTGCTGCCTATCAGTGCCCATCAGTGCCTCCTATCATTGCCCATCAGTGCTGCCTATCAGTGCAACCTATCAGTGCCCATCAGTGCTGCCTATCAGTGCCCACCAGTGCCTCCTATCAGTGCCCATCAGTGCTGCCTATTATTGCAGCCTCATCAACGCACATCAGTGAAGGAGAAAAATTACCTGTTTGCATAACTTTATAATAGAAACGAAGAAAAACATTTTTTTTTTCAAATGTTTTGCTCTTTTATTGTTTACAGCACAAAAAATAAAACACTCAGCGGCTAATAAATACCACCAAAAGAAAACTTTCTTTGTGAGAAAAAAAAAAATGATAAAAACTTCATATGAGTACAATGTTGCATGACCGCGCAATTGTCATTCAAAATGTGACAGCGCTGAAAGCTGGTAAGGAAGGGGGTATAAGTGCCCGGTGGGCAAGTTGTTAAAAGTCAGCGGCTACAAATACTGTACTTTAAATTTTTTTTTTTTTGAGACCAGATCTCTGCTTTAAGTCTTGGGGGTAGAAGAATAAGCTGTAATGCTTTCCTTATTACTCAGCCTGTGCAGTCCCCGGAAAGCCTCCTCTGCATGGTGCTCCAGCCAGCTGTTGCATGCTGACGTCATCAAGTACAAGTGTTGGAACAGATAGTCCTGCATTAAACGTAAGGATGGCAAGGCTCCGGCCACAACCTGAAATGTCAGAGAGAAGTGGAGAGTGCTGGAGCGAAGACTAAGACAAGTATTACACCTTATTAGTGGAATACCCTGAGCCTAGACTTAACGAGTATCTAACCCTTCCTGGTGTTCTGTTTGAAATCAGCCTCATCCTGGCTCCAATTTTACAAGCGATCTTCACATTTCAATACAAATGTAATTGCAGCGCTAAAAATAAGTGTCAGATGCAATCATAAAGTGGTTACGTGAATACAGTGATCATACGATATCAGAGTGACATAAACCTAATAAAACATATCAAATCATATAAAATCTGTATCACTACAATCTCAGCAATAATTAAATGGTAAATATAAATAGTCCGTGGCACTACAGGTCACAGAAATTCCAGGTGATGTGTGAATGCTCTTCAGAAATAATTCAATGGTGAATATAAATAGTCCGTGGCACTACAGGTCACAGAAATGCCAGGGGATGTGTGAGTGCTCTTCAGCAATAATTCAATGGTGAATATAAATAGTCTGTGGCACTACAGGTCACAGAAATGCCAGGTGATACGTGAGTGCTCTTCAGCAATAATTGAATGGTGACTATGAATTGTCCGTGGCACTACAGGTCACAGAAATGCCAGGTGATGTGTGAGTGCTCTTCAGTAATAATTAAATGGTGAATATAAATAGTCTGTGGCACTACAGGTCACAGAAATGCCAGGTGATACGTGAGTGCTCTTCAGTAATAATTAAATGGTGAATATGAATAGTCCGTGGCACTACAGGTCACAGAAATGCCAGGTGATGTGTGAGTGCTCTTCAGCTAATGAATAAATCCGTAGAACTACAAGGTGCAGCAATACCAGATGGGATACTCAAAAGTGCTCATGATCCAATACGGAAATCCACCACCTTACAGTTGCAAGAAAAAGTATGTGAAACCCCTTGGGATTATGTGGAGTTTTGCATGAATTGGGCATAAAATGTGCTCTGAATGTCATCTAAGTCACAACAATAGAAGAAACACAGTCTGCTGAACATAATACTACACAAACATTAGATGTTGCCATGGTTTAATTGCACATAACATGTAAACATTCACAGTGCAGGGAGGAAAAAGTATGTGAGGCCCTAGCTTAATGATTTCTCCCAGAGCTAATTGGAGCCAGGAGTTAGCCAACCTTGACTCCAATCAGTGTGATGATATTGGATGTGTTGCTGACAGCTGTCCTGCCCTTGAAAAACACACACCTGTTTTGGGTTTACTGGTTTCAAGAAGCACTGTCTGATGTGAACCATGCCTCGCAGAAAAGAGCTCTCAGAAGACCTACGATCAAGAATTGTTGACTTGCATAAAGCTGGAAAGGTTTACAAAAGTATCTCCAAAAGCCTTGATGTTCATGTGTCCATGGTAAGACAGACTGTCTACAAATGGAGAAAGTTTAGCACTGTTGCTACTCTCCCTAGGCGTGGTCGTCCTGTAAAAATGACTGCAAGAGCACAGCGCAGAATGCTGCATGAGGTAAAGAAGAATCCCAGAGTGTCAGCTAAAGACCTACAGAAATCTCTGGCACATGCTAACATTTTTGTTCACACATCTACAATAAGGAAAACATTAAACAAGAATGGAGTACATGGGAGGACACCACGGAGGAAGCCATTGCTGTCCAAAAAGAATATTGCAGCACATTTGAAGTTTTCAAAAGAGCACCTGGATGTTCCACAGCACTACTGGCAAAATATACTGTGGACAGATGAAACCAAGATTGAGTTGTTTGGGAAGAACACACAACAGTATGTGTGGAGAAAAAAAGGCACAGCACACCAACATCAAAACCTCATCCCCACTGTAAAACATGGCGGAGGGAGCATCATGGTTTGGGGCTGCTTTGCTGCCTCAGGGCCTGGACGGATTGTTGTCATTGATGGGAAAATGAATTCCAGAGTTTATCAAGACATTTTGCAGGAAAACGTACTACCATCTGTCCGCCAACTGAAGCTCTGCAGAGGATGGGTGATGCAACAGGACAATGACCCAAAGCAATGGCTGCAACAGCACAGGATACGCCTTCTGGAGTGGCCCAGTCAGAGTCCTGACCTCAACCCGATTGAAATGCCGTGGCATGACCTTAAGAGAGCGATTCACACCAGACATCCCAAGAACATTGCTACACTGAAACAGTTTTGTGAAGAGGAGTGGTCCAAAATTACTCCAGATCATTGTGCAGGTCTGATCTGCAAGTACAGGAAACGTTTGGTTGAGGTTATTGCTGCCAAAGAGGGTCAACCAGTTATTAAGTCCAAAGGTTCACATACTTTTTCCTCCCTGCACTGTGAATGTTTACATGTTATGTGCAATTAAACCATGGCAACATCTAATGTTTGTGTAGTATTATGTTCAGCAGACTGTGTTCTTCTATTGTTGTGACTTAGATGATGTTCAGAGCACATTTTATGCCCAATTCATGCAAAACTCCACGTAATCCCAAGGGGTTCACATACTTTTTCTTGCAACTGTATATGGATTTGCACACATGAGAACACTACTGGTTTAATAGCGTTTGTGCTGATCCTTATGGGGGACCGGACTTCTCCAGAATAAGGGCTATGCAAAACCAGCAAAAGGATCCTCCTAGGGGGTAGTATTTATTGTAAATTTTTTAAAAGCAATCCACATGCATTCATTAAAGAG